CTTCGTAAAATTACGGTTGAACCCCTGATGTCACATAGATTATTTTACCGATCTCCTTGCTACGTTTCTGGACCTTGATCGTGGTAACTACATTGCTGTCTATGGGAGGGTCAGAGAGCTCTCAGAATTCATCAAAAATATCTTAATTTGTGTTCCGAAGATGAAACGAGGCCTTACGGGTTTGGAATGACATGTGGGCGAGTAATTAATGACAGAATTTCCATCTGAATGACAGAACCTAGTGATGCCATGTAGACAGAGAAGAGAAGTGGTCCAAATACTGAGCCCTGAGGCACCCCAGCAGCTAGATGTTGCGACTTGGACACCTCACCTCTCCAAGATACCTTGAAGGACCTATCTTCTAGGTAAGACTCAAACCACTGGCGTGCGGTTCTTGAGATGCCCTTTGCCAATAGGGTTGACAGGAGGATTTGGTGGTTAACCGTGTCAAAAGCAGCAGACAGATCCAGCAAGATAAGGATTGAAGATTTGGAGGCCGTTCTTGCCAGTCTTAGGGCTTCAACAACTGAGAGCAAGGCAGTCTCGGTCGAATGTCCACTTCTGAAACCAGACTGGTTGCTGTCGAGGTGGTTGTTCTGTGTGAGAAAGGAAGAGACTTGGTTGAACACAACTCGTTCAAGTGTTTTTGATATTGATTTTCCATTTGCATATTATTCAGAGTACAAGTCCAGCTCAAGATCTTAAAATTCAAATGAGCAATTAATCCTTCAGTCCTGATGAAAATCGTCACAGCCAATAGAATAGAATAGAGCTTCAAAAACAAAAAAACAAAAACTTGAAATAATGATCCTGATTATAATAGAACAATGTATTGTTTTACCAGTGAATGTGGAACTACTGAAAACTATATGTGGTAGAGTACGAGATCCAGTTTTTTACCCACACAGCTATTGATTGCACAACTTATGCAGACAAGAGGTTAAAAAAAAAGTCCTTTATCTAAGTGGACAGCCTGTGTTTTCTTTTTTTTTCTTTTTCTTTTTTTATTAAACATTTATTCAGAAATACAAGTGTGACAGAACATATGCCAAGGAAAAGAGCCAGGGGTTCAAGGATGACCAAACAATATACGGCAATTACAAATCAAAAGAGAAAGAGTAGAAACCTTATTTACCAATAAATACTTGTTAGGAAGCGTCCAAACCTTTTTCCACAAAATACTGTTCACTGATCTATTCCGTTTTGAAATAGCATGAGGAGTGGAAACACAATCATTAAGAAAAAGAAAGCGAATATTTCTGTTCTTTTTCAATGTAGATTTAAAACATATCCCACCTACATACCTGTCAACTGGGTCTGGGAGAGGCATTGCAGAACCTGACAGCCTGTGTTTTCACATCACAGAACTGTGCCTTGTAGACACGCCCACCTTATGTGAACTACAACTCCCAGCAACCATCACTCTAATGTGACGTCAGCACGTCCTTTTTTAAACTGCGATTTTCTTCTCTACAACCATAATGCATGTATTTTGTGGATACTATAAGAAAATAAATATATATGTAAATATCAAAACACGACATCTACGTTAAATTACCCGAAGGGGGGAAACTACAAATCTGCATCTCCCAGAAACTACATCTCCCTGGGTTTCCGGGTAAGTAATGATGACGATGAATTTACTCTGCGAAACATGGATCGTGGCGACACGAGTAGTTTAGTTTTGTATTTTTCCCCCGGGATGTGTAATGATCGTTTGTGTTTGTGAGCACGATGGGCTTGAGGAATCGCGCTGCTGTGATCGCGGTGTTATTCGTTGTATTGACGGCTGCAGATGATCAGACACGCAGTAAAAACAGCGAGGAGTCTGCCGATAATAATGCTGTCATTGAGTTACAGGATGGGAATACTGCTGATGGGCAGCTGCTCAGGTATTGTTTTTGCAGTTTAACAGCAGAAAGAGTGAGTTATTGACAGCTGTCAAGTGGCGTACAGTGACTAATATATTTAATAACATATGCTAGTCAACACTATCACTATTGCTCGAGCAAAAGATGTCGTAGTTCTGCTAAGTTTGACTTTTTTCCTTGCACATGTATATAGCAACCACCCAGTATTGCAGTATATATCAAAATACCATGCTATTACTGCCTGATACCATCACTGTACCACGATACAGCCACAGTATACACTTGTCTACAGTTATAGGCCTAGATATTAATTTATGGTGTGAATATGATAATTCTTCTGCCTGTCTGTCTGCTACTTGATGATCTGGATAATCTAGCATTTAGAAATTCTATCTGTCTATCTGTCTGTCTGTCTATCTGTCTATCTATCTCTGTCTGTCTGTCTATCTGTCTATCTCTGTCTATCTATCTGTCTGTCTGTCTGTCTGTCTGTCTGTCTATGAATGATTTGATATATCTTCATTAGATAAATTGGGCCCATTTTTGTCACAGAGATGTATATTTGTATTATGAAGTAAAATATTATAGTAAAATATAATAAGATTTTATGTACTACAATATAAAATGTATCCCTCTGACAGGTTAAATGACACCAAAAGCTCCAGCAATGACACGGTTCATTCCACCACACCTGTGCCCAAGCCCACGACCCCCGAGCCTCCCAAAAATGAGCCTATCCTGCCAGAGCAGACGGGCGTCAAGGCCCAGGAGGAGGAGCAGTCCAGCGGCATGAGCATTTTCTTCAGCCTGCTGGTCATTGGTGGGTAGAACCAGTGGTTTTAAAGATAGAAATGACCTCAGTGTGACACTGACAATGTGCTTGTCATATATATCTATATATGTATTTGTATTTGTATAGCACTTTTCACAATACACTTTGTTTCAAAGCAGCTTTACAGAAAATGCCAATTGAATAAGACAAAAGACCGAATAAACTGTACCGAACAATGACGTGACGCTATCAAATAGCAACCAGCGTAGAGTGACCGTGTGTCTACACCGGACGCAACAGTTGAAGTTTTAATAATTGTAGAAGTTTAGCAACAGCTAAAAAGTCTGTCTACACTGGACGCGACAAAGCGACCATTGAAAATCATTTGAAATATGTGTCAATACGTATAGAAATGACCTCAGTGTGACACTGACAATGTGCTTGTCATATATATCTATATATGTATTTGTATTTGTATAGCACTTTTCACAATACACTTTGTTTCAAAGCAGCTTTACAGAAAATGCCAATTGAATAAGACAAAAGACCGAATAAACTGTACCGAACAATGACGTGACGCTATCAAATAGCAACCAGCGTAGAGTGACCGTGTGTCTACACCGGACGCAACAGTTGAAGTTTTAATAATTGTAGAAGTTTAGCAACAGCTAAAAAGTCTGTCTACACTGGACGCGACAAAGCGACCATTGAAAATCATTTGAAATATGTGTCAATACGTCATAAATAGAACGCGGCAGCAGATTACTGTCGGGGATTTGTCGTGTTGCGCCGCGCCGCTCGCATCCAGTGTAGACAGCGTCACTGATTATA